TTAGGGTTGGTTTAGGTTTAGAGGTCTACGGTTTAGGGTTTGGTTTAGGGTGTATTTAGGGTTGGTTTAGGGATAGTTTAGGGTTGGTTTATGGTTAGTTGCGGGTTGGCTTGTCCTGGGTGCCGGGGTTTCTGGGTGCGAGTTCAGGGGGTCGGGGTGGGGGTGGGACCGTAGGTGCCAGGATCCGGGGGCTCGGGGTCTCGGGCCCGGGGGGCGGCTCTTGGGGGACCATACCATATGGGGGGGGGGGGGTAGCGCAACACGGAACACGGGACCATATATATATATATATTGCATAGAGGTGCATTTGTTGATACGCTACCCCCTCACCCCGACGTGATGGCTTTGTGGCCAGCAGGTCTCTGCACAGCTGTTCATGTTGAAATTATGAAGGACTGCCAAAGTTATTGTAACAAGGGCAAAGTCCTTGAGAGAATAGCAGCCCAGAGCATATAGAATATATTAAAGCTTGCGCATCCTTGAAGGCCCTAATGAGAAGAGAGGATGTGAAGGGACAAGCATATTGCAAACCCGTCATGGCTGGCAAACATGCCAACACTAACAGATGTTCATCAACATAGCGGACAGAGGAGTTGCCGCGAAAAGGGCAGGATGCGCCAACCCCAGACCATGTAGCGCGTCGCAACTTCTCTTTTTGGAGCTTGGAGCAAGGCAATCTGGCGGGAGGTAAAGTCAGTTTGATACGTTTGCAAGATTCATATTCACATAATATTTATTCTGGGTGAATTATAACGACCTCACACGACCGAATTCAGCCCAAATGGTTTATGTAGGCAATATCCCTCCACCCACCTTATTTGAGGCTGGTGAAATATTATAATTCACCCAGATTTATGTATATTCAACATGTACTGTGTGTTGTTTTGAGCAGTTGTTTGCTATGGCTCCGACCTATCTTCGCAGCCCGCTCACATTTGGGATTTTGCCGGCCACGATGTCCTTTTGCAAGCGTTCGTGGGTCTCTCCATTTGCTCTCGCATCTTGGGACCACAGTTTGGGCTTTGTCATGGTTCGGTTCTCCCATCCAAAGCCTTTTGGGTGGTCCTCTGGAGACTTTGCGTAAAGCTTTTGTAATCGATGCCAAATTAAGCTCTTGGATTACCAAAGGGTTATCTTTTTTCAGATCCACATTTATTGCATGCCTTCCAAGCCCATTCCCTGCCTTCCCCGGAAAAGAAGAAAAACTTTGTTGCGCTCACAAAGAGCTTCCCCCAGCTTATCTCCAGTACGCGGAGCTCCGAGGCCGGAGGTGAAGTTCCTGCCGCACCTGGCCTTGCTGAAGCTGCCGTTGCCATGGCCTCGCTGCCAAGACATCAGCCCGGGCCCCAAAACGCCACGATAGGCTGGCGAACTTTTCCCGTGTTACGCGGCGAGTTTCCCTTTTTCATATATGGAAGATGTGTTTTTTCCCCTGAATCATGCATAAGGTTTTTCGTGGAATCATGCATCCCCAGGGGGGCTATGGGAAGGGGGGGGCCTATCCCTGGATAAGCCCGGGATAAGCCCTTAAGGCCTTGTTAAGGGCTTAATACAGGAGACCCCCCCTCCCCATAGCCCCAGCCAAAGAAACATGAGCGGCCTGTTATCTTTTCATGGCAACGCATAGAACTCTGAGACTAGATTTGTCAGTGATGACTATGCAGAGAACCAGCGCTGACCATTTGCACTTGCCCTGAATCCACGCCAACCTCGCTTGTTCAAAGCTGACCTTTCGACATTTGTCACTTTTCCAGGTCTTCTTTTCATGGCCTTCGGCTAATTTCCAGGTCCCTAAGGCGCCTGCGCGGCTTCCCGGACAGCCGCTCGATGGCGAATGGCCACAGCTTGGATCGAAAACGGGGGGGCTCGTTATGTCTGGATGAAAGTGGAAGGCGCATGAAGGCACTCCCCTTCCCCAGATTTAGCTCCCCTTCTTCATTGTTTGTGTTTTTTGGGGGTCCCCTTTGTTTTTCACTCACCAGGCAAAAAAACATGTTGTTTTTTTCTGGGCTCCTCATTCCAGCCAAGTCTCAAGCATTCTGGAGAAGTTCATCTCCTGTCTCATACAGCTCAGATGTTAGATGTTTTTGTATTTCAGTTTCTCTGACACGTGCCAAACGCCAACGTCTGCCACTGAGAAGTGGATGTTTGGTTCTCAGGCCACCTGCACGAGGAGCCAGTGCCAGGGGACAACTTGGTGGTGATTTCTGAGGCCCGAAGTGCCGGGGGCGTGGCACCCGCACCGCGAAATCTTGCTGGTGCGAGAGGTGCAGGGCATGAGAAATGGAATGAGAAACCCCGAGTTAAACCATCCAACTGGTGGTTTCCTTGGAGGGAATTCGCAGGCTCATTCCATGTCTCATTCCCTGCTGAGCACCAACAAGTTATTTAGGGCGCCCTTGCAAACACCAGCCCTTTAGAGAGATGGATTCAGCTTGGGGCAAAACTTGTGTGGACACTTGTAGGTTGTTTGGGTATGTTTGATGGGAGTTGTGTTCGGATACTGAACTTCACCCTGTCCAAAAAGTCCAAGTTCAGAGCGCAGAAAACAAGGGCATGTGCGAAGCTGATTCCCTATATTCCATTTGCTTAAGAACATGTTCTTATTTTCCAGTGTTGGTTTTCAAGGGAATCGATTTCGCTACTGGAAATATTTGCATAGTTTTTCTGGGGACTTCAGAAAATGGAGGCTTGTGTTTGATAACTCCGAACTCTTGTGGCCAGTTCTAGGCTCGCGCTGGATTTCGGGCCTAGTGCCATCTCCCTTGCGAGTTGTCCAAAGCGAGCCGACCGGATCTGACCGGATCTGACCCAGAATGTTCAGGGGGCTATGTCCGGTCCTTCAACTGAGAGAGGCATTATTTGCCTGTTTTGTCATAGGGGTACAGCTGATACCCATGAAACATAAGCCACGCACATTGGGGGGGGGTCACTGCAGTCATACTTCTTTGGTTGACTCCATGTGTTTGGGCCCGTTGGCGCAGTTGTCCGGTGGTATTTGGTTTCGTTTGTTGGGACGTCGCCATGAGAATGAAGGGACACCTGTCCTTGTCGGTCGTCCAACCGGAAAAAAAATGGAAAAACAAAAGAAGAAGAAAAAAAACACACACACACACACAAAAAAAAAGAACAACCTACAATATGTGTCCGTTTCAGTTCCCATGGCGACCCAGCAAGTCTCACGCGAATCGGCCGGATCTGACCTTCGGTTCCCCATGGTGCATGTTTAGTGGCTTTTTTCAGGGGCAACTGAGAATCACTCTCCTGCAAAAAAACGGACACCCCCAGAAAACCCATCGCCGAGGCATGGTCCTACCAGCTCCACCCGGACCCCAGCGCGGAGCAGTCGGAGACGATCATGGCTTTGCTGAAGAAGGCAGCCACTTGCCATCGAGGACCCAGTTTCTTGGTGGTTCCCAGCCATCCGGTTCCTTAGCTTTTTAGACTAGTGGGGGTTTAGTGGTAGTTTCTATTTAACCCATTAAAAGTCAAACTTTTAGCGGGGAATCTGAGGGCAGCCCAGGTTTGATGAAGTTCCAGGCTCGGTGTTTCGCGTTTGTGGCAGCCCCCTTGGTGGTTAGGACTGGGTTCGAACCCTGGCGCTGGAGGCTAAATGGGAAGCTTCCCCCAGACTCTCGTCCACCAATCCGAACCACCAATTAGATGAAAGCTGATTGGTGGCTTTGCCTTCCCTTTTTGTTTGGTGGGTTCGGGACCCTCGAAAAAAGAGAACTGACCCCACAAAGGCTTCCACATGTGTTTCGAATGATCCGCTGGCTGCGACACAGATGGACTGTGCGGACTTTTGTCCAGGGGTGGCAACACGGGTCTGGTGCTGAAGCGCTGGTCAATCCAAATGAGACACTTCGTCCTCTGCGACTATTCCATTTTGCGCAGGGGCAAATGCATAATATATACAGATATATATTTACAGCTGCTTGCATACATGCATATGGCATAATGCATGTTAGCAGGTTCGCAAACGCACAGACTTCGGTGCGCACCGACGGATAGATCCGCCAACTGTAGCTGGTTTCTTCGAACGCTCGCTTAGGCTCGGCTGCTGCGAGCGGGAGGCGCTCGGCTTGGGAAGGAATTCCTTTGCAGCAGTAGGGCTGGCCTGGCCGGCAGCAAAATCATAGGGCTGCTGGGTAGTTGAAGCTGAACGAATGAGCACACCGTGTAGCATTGAGAGGACTGGCTGTCCCGTTGGATCAGCGCAATGCTCGCCTCGCAATAAGTATATAAAGTGCCAGAGGCCGCCTGCTGGTCTACTGTGACTACCTTTGCGTGCCACAGCCACCTGTGCATGCGAAGCAGAAGCCACTTGGTGCACATTGGGCGGGGGAGGGTCACACAGCCTGCAAAGACGTTTGGCCCGGATGAAATGGCAAAGTACCGTAGCCTGACTTGCGCTGCACGCCAACATGACCTTCACGCATGAAGTGGACACCTATTGTTTGACTTCACTCTTGTTGGCAAGTTCTTTGGCACTTTTGGTTCTGGTCATTTGTAGTAGGGGGCTGGAAAAGACAGTCAGCTCCTTTTGCGACCATACCAAGGGTTGTAACTATTTGATGATGGGTTGTAAAGATTTGGTGATGCCGCAATGCAATGTGTCTAAACTTGATGGACCTTCTTTGGCCTTAAATGGCCGCCAGCCGGGAGCCATTGCCATTCGGAATGGCACACTGGCCACCCCCCCTCAGAACGGAAGCAATCTGCTTGGGAGAGTGTCCAGCTGCCTGAAGTGCAGCTGTTTGGCTTAATGAGCTGATTTCAATCCCCTCCCCCCCTGCCTTAACTAGGGTCGTCTGGTTGATTTGAAGCTGTGTTTCTGTTGAGGGAAATTACCCTTTTCCAGGTTAGGTGGAAATAAAGGGAATCCAAAGGCCACCACCCAGTTTTTGTGTCCCCCTCTGTTTGAGACACCCTTTTTTGGAACGGATGTTGCAACTTCCTTCCTGAGGCCGTGGACCTTAGAAGACCAGGAGGTTGTGATGAAGGCGTGGGGAGAGCGTCGTTTTGTTTTTTAGAAAGGCAGCTTCGGTCGCCTCCAAACAAAGCGACCCCGCTGTTCGCCTCGCTTGCGCCTGGAATGAGCGAGTGCCATGAATCCGGTGTTATCCTATCCGAATGTTTGCTTTTCTCTGCCATTGCACAGCATGCTTTGCGAGTGTGGCGCACGATCACAGCAAACAACAATGTCATGGACCGCTTCGAAGTTTTCATGCTTACTGCTCGGAGAAAATTGAAAGAAGAATGGCACACAGTGATTGATGTCCCCTGAAGGTAAGCAAAGGGGGATAGATGTTGCTTTGACTTGGTTTGCGTTTTAAGCTTTAACATGTTTGGGAACATGTGTGGCCGTTTGGGAACCCCAAAGCGCCACGCCCCACGCCGCGCCTCGCGCCGCTGGATATCAGGTGACACAGGTGCTGCCGCACCTCCTCTTCAACGCAGATGCGGTGATCCACGTGGTGGGGGACATGACCCCAACTTCCGAGGAGAAAACTGAGCTAAACAATTGAGCATATCCCCACCCCCCTGGAAATTGGGCGGGGGAAGGGGGTGACCCCTGATTTGTGTTAACCCATGTTCCCTTTTCTGGGGAAGACTAGAAAAATGGAACTGGGGGAGGGGGAAGGCGAAATTTCGAACCCTGGAGATCTCCATTTGTCAAGGCATGTCAAGGCGATGTCGTGCAAATCCCTGAGGAGCCATCCGCCAATGGGTCAGGTCATCCCCACCCCCTTGCAAATGGACTTGGGGAAGGGTGTGGGGAAGGGTGACCCTGGCATTCCATTTGGTTTCAGTTTTCCTTTTATGGGGAAGACTGAATAACATACTCACATGGAAGGATGGTAATCTGCAGAATGGGAAACTAGGTATGCCTGACACTGGGAACTCCGCTTTTGGTCGCGTTTGGCAAGGAACCAACGGGAGCACCCATGATTTTGAAACCAGCACATGTTTGGCTCGGTGCATGGTTCGCCCCCAAGTCGTGCAAAGGAGGCTTGTGCGCAATCTAACTTGGTTGCTCCCTTATGGAGACTGATTCAAAAGTGGAAATGTCGCTTTTGGACGGGGTTTCCCGGGGTTTCCTCCAGCTGCCTTTTGAGGGGGCAATCCAGTGACCCCCTGTCAACTTTTGTGCTTGCAGGTGAGAAGTCTGGGGTTCGTTCCAACTGCCAATGCCTTTGTCGAGCCGCGCAGGAACGCTACACCGTGTCAATAGACACTCTGAAGCAAAACTGCGCCGCGCCCTTCATGTTTCAACTGGGATCCAAGTGAGGGACAGACCACGATCCGAGAGAGAGAGAGAGGAGGGAAAAGAATGAAAGAAATAAAGAAAGAAAGCAAAACAGGGAAATAGAAAGACACAAAGAAACAACCAGAGAGGGAGAGAGAGAGAGAGAGAGAGAAAACAACAACCACAACAACAACAACAACAACAACAACAACAACAACAACAACAACAACAACAACAACAACAACAACCACAACAACAACAACAACAACAACAACAACAACAACAACAACAGCAGAAGCAGCAGCAGCAGCAGCAGCAGCAGCAGCAGCAGCAGCAGCAACAACAACAACAACAACAACAACAACAACAACAACAACAACAACAACAACAACAACAACAACAACCACAACCACAACCACAACCACAACCACAACCACAACCACAACCACAACCACAACCACAACCACAACCACAACCACAACCACAACAACAACAACAAAACAAAATAAATTGACGCTTGCTTGTCACATTCTCAAGTCAGAGTCAAAATACTAGCTGGTTCCCAGCCTTGTAAGCTTTCAGGGTTTAGTGGGGATTTCCATTTCACCAACTAAAAGTTAGCCCCTTTGCTTGGCGTGGGAAGGGAACATTTTCGGAAACGGAAGCCTCCAGAAGCGCGTTTCGAATCACGACTCTGCCAGGTTCTGCGTCAAGTGGGCGATGTCGTGCAAATCTCTGAGGTGCCATCCGCGCATGGGTCAGGTCATCCCCACCCCCTTAAGGATGGGAATTGGGGAAGGGGGGTGGCCCAGGAATTCATTTGTATGGTTCCAATTGTCCTTTCATGGGAAAGACTAGTTAAATGGAATTGGGGACCCCCCACCCCCCTTCCCTTAAGGTAGGGGGATGTCGTGTCGGTTCGCTCTGAGACCTCTGGGTGTGTCTCATAGCAATAACGCGTGGGTCGTTGAACCGAGCAGAAAGTGAAGAGCGCATCAGCTTGGGGGAGAGACGGATGGCCTGCACGTGCCATGCTGTGTACGCATGCACTGTGTCAGGCCCAGGCGGCTGCAACGCAAAACACAACTGAGTTTCGAAACCAACAAGGGCTGTTGAAGGCTTTCCAAGTCTTGCCAAGGCCCAGTCGCTTGTCATGAATCGCGTTCAACTTACTTGACTGCTATTGGATTGTATCTTTAGACTTTAACTTATTTGGGAAATAAAGGTGTTTTCCACTAACCCCCCAAAAAGTTAAGCTTTTTGCAGGGGGGTCAACAGTAATCAAGCTTAGTGCCCCATTGACGCAAGGAGCTGACGTGCCACGAGAGCAGCCAGCTCAAGAGGCGGGAGAAGACGCTGGATCACGATGCCTGAATACTCTGCCTGTGCCAGATGGTTGTGGTTCTTTTGTAGTGATGTGCCACCATGGATCACAGATTTGCATATGTGTCCTTTTTGTCTGGTTTGTTTAAAAAATAGAAGGCCCTGGTTGACCTAGTGGTATCATCTACCAGGGCCATCAATTTTCCACAAAGGACACCTATGCAGATTAGGATGAGGGGCCCCCAACTTGGAACAACTCGGTTTGCTCCACCCACGAAATGTCAGACCTGTTGCGCCTGGGGGGGGGAGCCCTACCGTATGCACCACTTGGTACGAGGTGCATCGCAGTTTTCGCAGGGTTTCATCCAGCCTGCCTGGCGCAATTGTTGTGTTTTGCAACCATCCCACCGGGTGGGGGCTGAGCATGTGGCGGTTTGTATACACATGAATTTGTTCCACCCACCCAATACCCGAGTATTATACTAGATCCACAACTAGAACAGTGACATGCTCAAAATGTCGCTTTGGTGTATGAAAGGGACACCAATAGCCCCCTATAGGGAGTGCTTTTGTTTGAGGTTGTCATTTGGGTTGGTTTAATCAGACACCTCGAGAAAATCCATTCTTTCGGGTCCCCTATTTTGCAAATTTTGAATCAACCCCATCGTGGCCTTTTGGAGGTACGACCAAGTTTTGGCCGTCAACGGCCACGTGGTGACGGGCATGGAAGACCTGCCCGAGGAATCCCGGTTCGCGGGACACTTCTGTTTCAAGAGCCGATGTTTCGGCTTGGAGCGGGGGAACGTCTGTGACATTACGTGCCCAAAGGGCGGATGTGTTTTTTTGCCCCATGGAGCCACTGGATGGGGTACTGGGGTAGGAACTGGTTGCCACTTTGCGCGTTGAACCCACCAAACCCCCCGCGACCCCTCCCCCCCCCCCCGGAGTTTTTGTTTTTGGACCCTTGAATTCCCCCCCCCCCCTGTGTACAGTTGCTGACGTGAGCATTGTGTCACCTAGTGCCTGCATTGACCCTACCACGTGGCTTTGGTTCTATGGCACAGCACCCCCAGCTAGGAGATCTTAGCAGAGGATTGGGCATGAAAGAACATGTTGAAAGAGCAATGGCATTTACTTAGCACTCAAAGACTGAGTTGCCCAAAGCCGGCCTTTTGACCTTTTGGTTTTCCCGTTTTGGTCCATTTTAAGTCATGGCCCCAAAAGGTGATCAGCTTTTGTTTCCATGTGCAACCTGTAGAAGCCTTCAAGCTTAGCTCGCCGGTTCCCGCCGTCGGTGACGTCAGCCCGAGGAGCTGCGGAGCGGCAAGCCCGGGTCGTGCTCGGCCATTTGCCAAGCAGCCGCCTGGACTGGGAGCTATCCTCCCCGATTTTTTTGATTGCTTCCTGTTCCTCGGGGGGAACTTCGGTCTTGGAAAGTTGTGGAAGTCGTCAAACTCGTGGTGTCTGTTTTTAGAGGCCCCACTGCCTCAGAACCCTTGAATGCGTCTTGAATCCTCTTGCTGGGAGGGCGGGTGACGAGGCCGTCCCAACCGAAAGACAGGTGCCCACACGAAGTTACGACTTTGGAGCCTTTGTGGCGCGCCATGAGGGTGGACTGCGGCCGAGAAAACGTAGGGCTTACCTCTTAAAAACACAACTTTTCTCAACTTTTTGGGTAACATGGGCAACTTTGTCTGTAAAAGATGAAAACTTCCCCAGGTTGCAAAAGGAGTTTTAAGGGGTAAGAGGGTGTACAGGCGAACCTGCTTCCAGGCCCGGGTGTGACGGAGTCCCTTTCATGGACCTCCCTGCCTGGGCGGCTTTCCTCGAGCCGATGAGCGACAGATGGACCCATGAATTCGAAGCATGGATTGCGGATTTGTCCAGTCCCCGACCCATTGCATGGAGTTGAGAGGCATGGATTCGGCGGCGTGATCTTGGCCCAGCTTTTAATCAAGGGTGTTGGACATGCGTGTGGTTCAAGCGCTCCTGGCAACCAAGCAGATTGTGCGGACAAGAAGGCCATGGATTGTCGGTTTTTAACGGGAATCTATCCCTTGTGGACATTTAGTTTCTCATTTTTTGAGGAGGCGAGAACGCAAATGGAAGTCAAAATTCTGCTGGTTCTCAGCAGGGAAGGGGAGGAGCTCTGGAAGAAACCATCCCCTCTGGTTTTGCTTTTCTTCGGGATTTGGGAATCCCCAAATCGGTTCATTCCCAAAATCACGGATCCGAATTGTCAGCGTCAAAAAAACCGAAAAGCCGGTGACGGAGTCAAGGTATGGCCGAGCCTTTCCGCCTTTTGGCAGCCCACTGTGCGAGCCTCAGGTCCGATCGTTTCAGCAAAGGGACGGGAAACGAATTTCAGTTATAGAGGAGTCCCCTTAGGGACCTTTTTTTTGGGTTCCACGGTGACTTCTCACTCCCGGAGTTCCGTTTTGGACTTTTCTCCACTGTTTGGGTTTGGTTCGACATGAACAGCTAGAATCTTTCCGGAGAAAGCCAGAAGGGGATGGATGCGATGATGTTCCGTCCGTATGTACGACCTTGTCTTTACGGCGACAGCGTGAGGACATCCTTTGAATCGCCATGATTACATGTTCGATCTGGACACATGTTAAAGCGTAGACTCGGCAATTTACCCTGACCAGTGGCCTATCCCAGAACCATGTCGTTTTTCCTGCTTTGGTTTGAGCGCCCTATTCATTGCCCGGTCCTTGCCAGCGCGTTTGTTGGTGTTTTTTCTCCAACAAGTGTCGTCCTGAACTGTGATTGATGCATTTTATTCCATTTGTGTTGGCTGGACTTGCCATGTCTTGCCAACAATAGCTTGGTCATTGGCCTACAATTTGATTGAACCTTCCCCAAAAAGAACCACAAAGGGTATATGTTTGAGTTGCCCAGGTCAGTTCAAGAACAAACGGTTTGGAAACACTTGCCCATCCAGTAGAACCAACCCCATGCTTTGAGCGCAGGCCTTGCTGCTGCGGTCTCCGCATGGCTACAGGACGGGGCCTGGGCGTGCATAGTGCGAGTGGTGGTTGTGGTCACTGCAGCGAAGCTCTCAAACTGTGTAATAGCCAGAGAAGCGGTCAGACAGGCTCTCACCAGCTTCAACGATCTGTAGGCCAGATCAAAATTGAATCATATTCAAGATGTTGCAAGCAAAAGGTGCTCAGCCACATGCACCAGAGCAATTCCCCTAAGAATCAGGCAAAATAGCAACCAAGTCTAGAACAGCGTTTGTTTCAACAACAGTGACAAAAAAACAAAAACACCACCACCACCACCACCACCACCACCACCACCACCACGACCACGACCACGACCACGACCACAACCACGATGGCCGCAACAACAACAACAACAACAACAACAACAACAACAACAACAACAACAACAACAACAACAACAACAACAACAACAACAACAACAACAACAACACCAACAACAACAACAACAACAACAACAACAACAACAACAACAACAACAACAACAACAACAACAACAACAACAACAACAACAACAACAACAACAACAACAACAACAACAACAACAACAACAACAACAACAACAACAACAACAACAACAACAACAACAACAACAACAACAACAACAACAACAACAACAACAACAACAACAACAACAACAACAACAACAACAACAATGACGACGACGACGGCGACGGCGACGGCGACGACGACGACGACGACAACAACAACAACAACAACAACAACAACAACAACAACAACAACAACAACCACAGCAACCACAGCACAGCAACAGCAACAGCAACAACAGCACCAACAGCAACAACAGCAGCAACAGCAACAACAGCAACAACAGCAAGAACAGCAACAACAGCGGCAACAAAAACAAGAACACAAACAATAACAAGAACAGGAGCGAGAGCAACAGCAGCAGCAACAGAAACAGCAACCACGACCACAGCCACAGCCACAACAACAACGCAGAACCAAAAAAACACGAAAAAAGAAGCAGCAGTAGCAGCAGCAACAGCAGCAGCAACGACAACGAAAGAAAACGCACCAGCAGCAGCAGCAGCAGCAACATCAGCAGCAACGACGACGACGACGACGACGACAACAACAACAACAACAACAACAACAACAACAACAACAACAACGCTAGCAGCAGTAGCAAGTTGACAGCGACTCACAGCAAGCAGTGCCTGTTCTCACCGGCCAGGATACGCATCCCACCTGCGGAGCAAGGCCATATTTATTTTAATCGATTCATTAGCATGGTGAAGGTCGCGCTGATGGAGGAGGGGTCTTGGAGCAGTCGTGCGGAGTGGTTCAAGTTGCCTACAGCTACCAGCATGTCAACAAGCATGAAAGGCGCAGTGGATTTGCTTGTGCCAGGAGGCTTCAGCACAAGAAGTGATTTATGCGAACGACCCACAAGCTCCGTGCATGAATTAGTCGAGGCATCAGAAGCGGGGAGTCAGCTATTCAGCCACTGGATGAAGCAAGGTGTATCAACTGGGATGTCCCATTCAGGGCCTGAGTTTCAGTTTTTTGTTGTTTTTTTGGTTGGCGTCATGCAGTTGTTTAGTACTCTGCAGTACTTTTTGGTATTGGAGTTGCGCTATAGTGGCCTTGTGCCGGATGGGATAGGGAGCCCCACAAAAATGTGTTTTTGTTGGTGTCCTCATGCTTCCCACGAACATAGCCAAATAACGCTGCTTCAGGCATGGGTCAGTCGGGAGCCCTAGCGTTCCTCCTTCAACCCCCCCCCCAAAAAAAAAGAAAAAAAAGAAACTAGGGACTCCATAAGTGGGGGTCCCAGGACGCGGGCCAAGCCTTGCCTCAGGACGGCCCCAAAAAGCGCCGAGGTGAAGGTCGAAATCCTGCGCGGTGGCTCCCGCCTTAGGCGCGCCACGCATGAAGGCCGGGGATCGGAGGGGGGGGCTCTCCGGAGGACGGGGGTCTGCCTTTTTTTTTGGGGTGGTACTCACTCCCTGAGTTCCTGGACGTTAGGCGCTTGTTGGGTTTGGACCGTTTAGACGACCCTCCCAAACGGAGGCGACGTGTTTCCGAAACTTGGCGCTACGCGGTTTGCCGGAAAACCTGCCTAGGTCTTCAAAAGGACACACACTGGTCTTTGATTCGCTTTTAGAATGGGAGCCTCCCCCCCCAACAACGGGAGGTGTCCCTTTTGGTTTCCTTTTTCAGGATCCAAAAAAGGTCCTATGAATACTGGATTGAGCTCATGCCAAGTTGGTTACTGCCGTACTTTGGATTGACAAACTGCAGTTGGGATGGAAGACACCCTATGAATACTGGATTTTGTCCATCCACAGTGAACACGGGCAGGCATGGATGCCTTGGCTGTGGAGCTTCAGAATTTCACCCATGAGCTCGAGAAGAAGACCTTCCTCCCTCTCCCCTCGGCGTCTTTTAAGCATTCGCGGCGAAATGAACGACCTCATCCCTCCCGCAAACAGGGTTGGGGATGTTGTTTAGAAACAGCCACCCGCAGGTGCCATAGGGAATCCCAGTGGATGTTGTTTGGACGTTTGTGGCTTAAATCTTTTTGAGCAAGTTTGGTGCTTTCAGGGAACCCTTCATAAAGGCTGTCTCTAGGTTTTACATCATGAGCAACACCTACTACAGTGGTAGGAAGCACTGGAAGAATGATCAAAAAGGGAACAACGATGCCACCGAACAACTGGAAGCACTGTGAAGGGGTCGGAAAAAGTGCGAGTAGCACCCTGAGTTATAAGGGTGTGTGTTGAAATTGGGGACTTTCCTGGAAACGAGCCCAGCAAACCAGCAGCACCAACCTTCCAAACCTAGGGCACCCTGGACGACCCATTCTGACCCAGTTGTTCTGGTTTCATGTTGGAAGGGTAAGTTATGTCAAAGATCACCCAGATTTCAACTCATCCCGATGAACTGGCATAAGCATGGGCATTCAGGGGTTGCCCAGAAAAGGTGCTTCCAAGCATGAGGCTTCCGGTTCCAAGCGTTCGATGATCAAAGCCAGTTGTTGGGTCTCCCCATCCACTTGCCGAAAGGCAAGGAAGATGGGCCCGCGCTCTCAGACGCATTGCCGCATGGGGGTACCAACTTCCGGGTACCAAAGAGCTGTCGTCATTGCCCCTGACAGCTGCATTTCGTTGCCATCCGTATGGGTTCTGTTTAAGGGAACAAAGGGTGAACCCTTTAATGGGCCGGGAAGCTCGCTGAAATCCCAATCAAATGGAATGACCAAGCTTCAACCAGAAGACTGGCCAGGGTGCCCTGCGATGGGCATCCACCTTCGGACGGAAGTGGGGAGGTATCAACAAAGGGATTGCCTGAACGCTACAGGAGGCTGGGCCCATACGCAGTTGTTTCCAAGTTGCACGGTGCTCCTACTGAGAATGGTGTCAGCATAGGTTGCTTTGACTCATCGTAACAGACAGAGCTTGGATTCTTCAGTATGTTTGCCAAGAGGAGACGCGCTGCAGCAAGTAAACAAGCAGGAGGTATGCATTGTTGCCCGGGTTTGTTGATCTCCTGGCTCGTTTTGCAGCGTCTTTTCAGTGGTGCCGCTTGTGATATTTGTGTGTCCTAGGCTTGGACCTTTTGGGCACGTGTTTAAGGAACAGACCCTCCCGCAGACATGGCGCCTGACACGGGGGTCCCTTAAACAGTTGAAATTGATCTTCCAAGTGCCCTCCCACAGGTGCCATGTTTTTGGGGTGCCGGAAGGGTAGTTTCTTTAGCAAAATGCGATGTTTGTTGGACTAAAAAACACGCATTTTTAGTCCAGTTGTTTTTAGGAAACATGCTATTTTTAGTCAAGGTGTCTTTAGGAAAAAGGCAGGGTATCAGGATTATTGTCTTCCGGCCCAGGAAATTGCTCGATGCCACCATATTGGCATGCACCAGTCGGCTGCCTTGCCGGCCCCAAACACGGACTACGACCTCGTGTCGCATCTCATGCAAATCTTCATGGAGGCACAGCTGGCCACGCTCAGCTGCCAGTCCCATGCCAGGTGTCCAACTGGTGTGTGGCCATGGGTTGCATGACGTATGGCGATCCCATTTTGGGGTGGATGAACATCCACTTGCCACCTATTTTGATGTTCACCGGGGGCTTCCTGGGTTTTGACCCACGGCCATGTGTGGTGTCTCGGTTTGTCTTTGTCTGTGTGTTCCTTGACTATTGCGGTTTGCTTCTTTTGGCCTGGTGATTCTAGAGGCCAACACGAATATCAATCAATTTGTTGCAGGATTAAAGCTGGCGAGCAAGTTGGCGACAAGCGTCCACGCACGCACAACCGCAAACAAGCGATAGAGCTGAAACGACAATGCCAAAGTCCCAAGTCATAGCGAAGGTTGACGCATTTGTCAATGCGTTTGACCCGGCCGATCGGCAAGCCCAGCCTGCAATGTGGGTGGACATAAATCCACAATGAGCAGGAGTCATCCAAGGGTCCCCGGTTGTAGGGAGGAATTTGCTTGATTTAAAGTGAAACTTGATTTGGACTTGCGACGATTTGGGGACTTCGACATTTCACCTTTTAGGAGTTTGATTGATTTGTGTGGAGATTTGAAATTGGAATTGGCTTGGTATTACTTGTTTGTTTTTGTTTTTTTTGGTTTTTGGAATTGGATTGTTTTTGTTTTGTTTGGTTAAGATTTGATTGGAATTGGATTGTTTATTTTTTTTGGTTAGTACCTGGGTTAGCTAACTGGGCTACAGCCATGGGTACCGCTCCATGGCGAGGAGCTCGCCATCGGCGTCTCGTTGCCACTCTGGCGGGCCGTGCGCGAAAACCGCCTGGAGGCGCGCCAACGGGCGCGCCGCTCCTGGAGCAAATGGATGGACCATGAAGTTGGAGAGCTTCGTTCATCCCTATCAATAACTGCAGCCTATGAATAAATATCGTCTCAAGGATCCCCAATACATGGTTGTTCTTGGGAAACATTTGAATCATAATTTGCTTATGGTGGTTTAGTGGTTGAAATCCAACCATTTGGCTGCTATTTTAAAAAATAAATAAAAATGTTGCTCCCCTTTCAACGTCAACCAAGTTTGGGTGTGGGTCGAAATTAAACCAACAGGAATCGGACCGCAGATTTTGGTCCATGTGTCCACTTGCCAGGGTTCCATTTTGGGGACCCATTTATATTTAAGAGCCACTTGCTCAAAACCGATTCGGGTAAATGAAGGGTAGTACGGGAGAATCCCCTTGCCATAAATAGCTGCGGATACCCGCCTTCTTAATTATTGAAGCATGGTTCTGGGATTACGACCAGTTTGCTTTGGCTTGGAGCGGATGTAGCAGATAGCACACCTGCGAGCTCAGTGGTTTCGAACAGCTAACATACACTTACCATCATGCATGCACCCAAATCCGCGCTGGTTTTGGATAACTCTGCATTTGAGCCTCCTGGGCGCACTCGGCCCTTACTTGGACGTGTGGACTATTTTTGATCTGGTAGAAAGCAAGTTCAATCCACAGACGATTGCCTGAGTTAGTGCAAAACAAACATGTGCTTCTCGCCGGCAAGCTCTGATCCTTGGACAACATTTGGGTCATCAAGTTTTGGCAACCCATATTTGGTCAGTGTTGGCCCATGTTGCCACATTATGCTTCCTGCAGAGCTTGTTTGTATGTTTGTATGGCCGCATGGTGTTGTAGTGATAGTGATACGCTGGGACCTTTGTTTCTGGTTGTGAAATTAGAGTTGGCTCAGCAATATCCAGCCATAAGTCTGGGAATACATACACTGTGCGCTGAGTGGCCTGCTTTCTGCTGCCCTTGGCGATGTTTTGCTTTCCGATCCCTTGTTGTGCCGGTCCCTACCCCTGGCTCTCGATTTCGAGTCAGCTCGAAGCTTGTTGCAGGAATGCAGGAAGCTTCTCCAAGAGCAGGCGGACCCCAATCTCTCCGATGGCAAGGGGCCGCTCAGCTCGCTATGTTCGAATCCTTTTTGGAGACGTCCATGCGCCACATGCGCTTCCTACCCAAAGTTGCGATTTCTAGCAAGAACCCTTGTGCAATGCTGCCTTCCAGCTGTCCTGTTAGTACGCCAGCCGGTTGATTCAGTCGTGGTCCCCTCAAAAAACAACACATGCATCTCGTGTTTTTTTATTGATGGTACCAGGAGGGGGGATTTGAAGGGGAGCAAAAGGGCAACCGCAGCCAAGTTTTAGGGTACCAATTTGTTTTGAGAAAAAAACATATCCCCGGTCTTCGGTCCAAATCAGGACACCTGGTCACATCGCAACTTTGGGGCAGAAAGCCTTGTCATCCGATCCCTTTTGCCGGCTGGAAACGCTGCACTTTGGTCTTGGCGACGCCTTACTTAAAGGGGCATTGTAGATAGAAAGTGGGTAATAGCCATGGTTACAACCCGCTTGCCGTGGTTATAAGTCTCCTAAGTGGGTTCTAACCATGGCTACAACCCACTTTCTAAGTCTTGCTAAGTACAATGCCCCTTTAAGTAGGGCCTTGGTTCTGTCTCTCGCGTCGCTCGCTTAGTGGCTTTGGGCCGCTGGTGGGATGGTGGGATTGCAATGGCTTGAGGCTGGCTGAGGTTCGGGGCAGGAAGACGGTTTAAATAAGGTGTTCTTTAGAGTTTCTGGACTTTAGTCAGTTTTTGGGTTTTGACCATGTTAGTAGTATGTGTATATATATATATATTTACATATATTATTATATATATATATGTATATATATAGATATTAACACCTGCTGGTTCCCACCAGCTTTGGTCATTTGCAAACCCTAAATTCCCAGGTTCATTTGGATGAACACACCCTGCTGAACAGAGCGTCTCCGATGTTAGGGGCAAACCGGAACATTTTTTTGGGGGGGGACACCCTGCCTAACAATCCACTAGCTTGAAGAAGTGCGTCCGAATCTAGGCTGAGGGAGGACGCGCGCCCGAGCTGAGGGTAACGGGTTTGCACATCGCGGCGGAAGCACGATCCGTGGAGGCCTGGTAATTACCATGTTCAGGTTGATTTTTAGGTTGAAACCAACAGGAAACCCATGTCTTTTGACGGGTGCCCCTGTCTCTTGACACATGCCCAGATATCATGGAATATATGCATGTCAAATGATATCAAGTAATATCAGGACTAGGGAGGAGGGGTGGTGAGGGGGGGTGAGAGGGATGAAGGGGATGAGGAGATGAGGGGATGAAGAAAAGAAAGAACGTCGCACAGCGGCCTTTTTCATGTGTTGCTGACCCACGGGGTTGTAGCCATGTTTGACATTCAACTGCCCAACTTCCAAGGAACTTTGTTTAGGGCGCTATTTATTCTGATACTCTTTGGAGCACCTGAGCATTTTAGCTGGGCCGGCTACTAGCGGGGTCTCAAAGGGCTTGGTGCACCTTAGGCAGCGGTTTGACGAGGCCTTCCAAGGCACCAGCCCCCGAGATGAGAATTCTGGGGCTGGTTGATCTGGGTTGGCCAAAAGGACCATACCCACTGGCCCACTACCCAGTGCTTCCTTCCGGCAAGCCACTACAGCAGGTAACAGGGGAAACCCAGATGCAAAGCCTAGAGATCTTTGGTTGAATTTCCATGACTGCTTGGGTTGCTCAGCGGTTGACGTGCGGGTGATCCTTCTTAGGCCGTATGTGGACATGTAGGGGACCCCCACGAAGCTGTTAGGCCGAGAGGGGCGGAGTCGCGGGCAAAAACAAGTCCGCGCCCGTCCGCAGGTGGTGAAGCTGTTGCTGGCCAAGGGGGCGCTGAGCACCGAGAGGGACCATCGCGGAAGAACGGCGGCCCACTGCATCCCCCTCCGCACGGACCCTTCACACGGGGCCCCCGGAGAAAGGGGGGGAGGCGCTGAGGTGGGTGGTACAGGGGATGTGGGGGGCCTGGAAGGGCATGTTCTTCTTCTGCAGTTGTTCCAAGTCAGGGGCTGACGGAATTTGCAGGAGAATGTAGCAGGGCTCCTTGAAAGAAATCCATTTTGCAACCATTTGAAACATGTTGCGTTTTCCACCCCAAAATAAAGTTGGAAAACTACCATTTACAAGTTGCAATGTTCAGGTGTATTCACTGTAAGGATTTTTGTGTAGGCTGAAGCCCACCTGTAGGTGTGAGTTTCCGCAGCTTATGGCTCGCCATATTCCCTTACAGCTTCAGTAAACAGCTGTCAGCAAGCCCGAGACCCACGGTGGAAGCTCTACTACTATACCTATTTCACATACATCGACATAGAATTGAGATGCACCGTTGACCTTCCTATCTTAGAGAGTTTCCACTTCCCCCAAATCACTACCCCATGGAATTGAAAACATGGAATGTACCCTTGAAAAAGTGTTTGTAAAGCGGTTGTATGCCCTGTGTTTTTGTTGGGGGTGGTGGTTTGGGGGTATTGCGCCAGGATGCGGTTATTTTGCAGTTGCTTCCCGATAGGGATTATGGAAAATCGGATTGGCCAACCCTCCATTTGGAACAGCCCAGATCAAGTCCGAGCGTGTTGCCCTGCAGGATCACATCACCACAGAACTGATTGAGATTTTCCTCACGAATGCTGCCTCGCTGCCGCTGCGCGACAAAGCTGGAGTATCCGACACTTGGCACTGTCTGGCAGCCATATGCAGATATCGACATTCAAACAAGTGCTCGTGCTTACCAGCATCCATGAACCCTCTCCATGGTGATGGGAATGCTTTCCCACAAGGTCTTCCCAATCGAGATGTTCACTATGGAGCTTCCTTGGTGCGGGAAGCCCTTGATATCTGCGACCCTGTCAGACCCCACCCCCTCCTGTTTGGGGGTCCGCTGCCAGTTTGCAACCTGAATGCGCTCGCTGTTCCGCTCGGAGCGAGGTCTTCGAGCGTTTCTACTTGTGGTCTTTGAGCGCCGTGAATGGCGAGCCCTACGAGCCTCTTTGTAGCGCCTTGCGTGGGTTGGCAGGCACGCACCGCTTTGAAACGCTCTATGGTGTGTGTGTGTGATGTGATGTGATGTAATGTGACGTGAGGTGACGTAAAGTGACGTGACGTGACGTGACGTGGTGTGGTGTGGTGTGTGGCGTGTGTGTGTGTGTGTGTATGTGTGTGTGTGTGTGTGTGTGTGTGTTTGTGTGTTTGTGTGTTTGTGTGTTTGTGTGTTTGTGTGTTTGTGTGTTTGTGTGTTTGTGTGTTTGTGTGTTTGTGTGTTTGTGTGTTTGTGTGTTTGTGTGTTTGTGTGTTTGTGTGTTTGTGTGTTTGTGTGTTTGTGTGTTTGTGTGTTTGTGTGTTTGTGTGTTTGTGTGTTTGTGTGTTTGTGTGTTTGTGTGTTTGTGTGTTTGTGTGTTTGTGTGTTTGTGTGTTTGTGTGTTTGTGTGTTTGTGTGTTTGTGTGTTTGTGTGTTTGTGTGTTTGTGTGTTTGTGTGTTTGTGTGTTTGTGTGTTTGTGTGTTTGTGTGTTTGTGTGTTTGTGTGTTTGTGTGTTTGTGTGTTTGTGTGTTTGTGTGTTTGTGTGTTTGTGTGTTTGTGTGTTTGTGTGTTTGTGTGTTTGTGTGTTTGTGTGTTTGTGTGTTTGTGTGTTTGTGTGTTTGTGTGTTTGTGTGTTTGTGTGTTTGTGTGTTTGTGTGTTTGTGTGTTTGTGTGTTTGTGTGTTTGTGTGTTTGTGTGTTTGTGTGTTTGTGTGTTTGTGTGTTTGTGTGTTTGTGTGTTTGTGTGTTTGTGTGTTTGTGTGTTTGTGTGTTTGTGTGTTTGTGTGTTTGTGTGTTTGTGTGTTTGTGTGTTTGTGTGTTTGTGTGTTTGTGTGTTTGTGTGTTTGTGTGTTTGTGTGTTTGTGTGTTTGTGTGTTTGTGTGTTTGTGTGTTGTGTGTGTGTGTGTGTGTGTTTGTGTTTGTGTCTGTGTCTGTGTCTGTGTCTGTGTCTGTGTCTGTGTCTGTGTCTGTGTCTGTGTCTGTGTCTGTGTGTGTGTGTTGGTGGGGAATCTCCCCAACAGACATACATACATACATATATATATATATATATGTTCCAACAGGTTTTTCCTGTTGGTTTCCCCCAACAAGGGTACCCTCGAAGAAAAAAACAACAACAAACTTTGATTGCGCCATAAGGTGAGGGCCGTTGTGTTTGATGCTCCGGGATAGTGTCAGCCTCTTTTCAAATGCGGAAAATGTGGACCCCGGATTAGTAAACCCGTCCCACTAATAAGATGAATCTTCACTCAACCAGAGATCCCTCCTGTGAATAATAAGCTTTGGTTGATTAACCTGGGGTTCCCAGCAAATGTTTTTGTTTTGGTCTTGGCGAAGCGGCTGCTGCCTCCAGCAGGCTTGAGCTCAGCGGGACACAGTAATTCATGTCGCTCTGAAGCCGCAGAAATTCCAAAGCAAATCCCAGCCCTCGCCTCCCAGCGATCAATTTTGGAGTGCACCCAAGTTCGACGGGGGTTATTTGCAGGTCAAAAGTTATTTGTAGGTTGCCATTTTGTTTTTACTGCTGTAGCTTAGTGATTTGTGATTCCGGGCATGGCACATGCTTTGTCATGGGAATTCGGTCCTTTTTCCCGAGCATCCGCCAAACTCCAAGTCTAAAGCTTCCCCCTTTTTCCATGGAGCCGCGCAGCTTGCATTTTCGCGGATTCAAAGCTCAGCTTTTGGGCCAGTGAGCTTCCTGCAAGTGTGTTCGTGTGTATCTTCCCCAAAAAGACAGTCAACACCATGGCGCATGCAAGCGACCTGCCCCCGTCTACGAAGTCCAAACAAAAGCCAGAAAGTCCGCTGGCAGGGAAGTACCTGGCGGGGAAGCTGCCGGAGCTCTGGCTGCTGGGCTCGCAGGCCCTGGGCTCCAACTGCCCCAAGTCGCTGAGCGTCACCAGCCAGCAGCGCCGCGCCTCGGAAGCGGAAGCCGAAAAGGACGGCGACGGATCGACGAATCGACGGGCGCCGAACCGGCGGGCGGAGATGCGGGGATGGGTGGCGGTTTTTGTTTTTGTTCCTTTTTTTTTCTTTTCTTTTTCCTTTTTCCTTTTTCTTTTTTGCTTTTTTTCTTCTTCTTTTTTTTTGCGTGGGGTTGCTTCAACCGGGTTTCATGTTTCTTGGGGTGTCCAAGTCCCAGTGCCCTTGAGGAGTTGCCCTTGAGGAGTTGCCCTTGAGGAGTTGCCCTTTTTGGTTGAGGAGTTGCCCTTGAGCAAATCAACTACCAAGCAAAGTTTTCCCATGGGCACTGTGGGTTTGGGCAGCATGCTCCTTTTCCTCTTGGACCAGTCGGCTTCATTGGCCTGAAGGACCGGGTTTTTGAGGTGCGCTGTTGAGGTTGAGGTCGAAACGGAGCCTCAGAAAATCCGAATCCAGCCGCCGAGTGACTTTGCCCTGCTCAAAGCTTAGAAGGCACCTTCCTTTGCTTTATTCGCTCGACCGTAATGGAAACCCACTCCTGGTTGACTTCCATTTGTTCAAGAATATATATATATATATATATATTCGTTGTCGTCCTTTGGTGGCCTGAACGGGAGTCTATTACTTTCACTCCTGGAAATATGTATCACTCTCCTGGAACTATGTATCACTATCACTCCTGGAAATATGTTTATGTTTTCCAGGGGACTTAAGCAAATGGAGGTTGATGCATGAAGTAAGTAAGTCCTTGACTTTAGGTGGAGCCCTCTATGAATCCTAATCCTGGTTGATGAATCCGGGGTGGACACGCGTGTACCGGGGTCGACACGCGTGTACAATGTCCAGCTGCAATCTGACAACTTGGACGTGATGCCAGTAACCTTTTTGGCATGAAAGTTGCAGGTATGGAACGAATCATGCCACTTAATGTTAACCCCGGAAAAATAAACCCCTGGTTGATTAATAGGAGGGTGTCCCCTTTTAGTGGGGATTCATCACTATTGGAGGGAACACCCCACTAATAATGGGACAGGTTTATTCATCCTAGGTCCAGACTATGCCAAAGGGTTTGGACAGTCACAAGGCCCCAGGAGGGCCAGCAACTCTTGCTGCTTGCTCAGTTGCTCGCCTACAGGCATAGTTACTAGTTGTAATTACCGTTTCTTCCAATGAGACGCTGAGCCAAGGAGCCTCTCCCTCGATCAGGTTTCACGTGTCTCACCTTGCAGAATGTTCTGATACCCTTAGCGGTTTGGATTGGTGGCGTGGTTTTTGTTTCACCCTAAACTTCTTGAAGCCAAACGAAGGAGGCAGCCCCTAACGTCCAAACGTCGGGGAGCAATGAAGGTGAGCAATTTGTCAAAAAAAAAAAAACGCGCTGCCTGCCGTTGGACCCGCTGTTCAAGTCAACGAGTTAGTCAGATGCCTGACATTCCCCAACCAATTAGTCTACCGCCCATGCCTCTTTTGTAGCGCGGCAGCCGGACTCGGAGACAGGATCAGAGTGCCTTTGTTCATAGCCCGTGGGGCTTGAAACAAGACGCAACTAAAAGCAACGCCGCGGGGTCCTCGCGGTGCTGAGGCTTGAATATCGCTGGCAAGATGCGAACTGTGCATGTGCTGCTTGGACGCAAGGTGCTTCGCATGAGACAAAGCATATTCCTTACTTGAATGCGCGATCGCGACAATTCATCGGGAAATGTGTTACCTTGATTATATTCTGATATTTGCACCCAGCTGGTAGCCGCGCAAGAGCTGAGAGCTTGCTCGCGGTGCTTGCGGAATCGTCAGGGGGCCGTTCAACGGCCACAAGTACTTGTTCAAAGACGGTTTAGGGCGTGTTTGGCTACAAAGCTCTTCACAGCTGAACTGGTTCATTTGGCCCGGGCGTCTTGAGGTAGCTTGCACACGTTGCTTTGCGTCAGCCTGCTGACTTGCAGCTCAGGCTCATCCCCTCGCCCTCGCAGATCCACAGGGATGCTTGTTCGCAGAGAGAGCCAGGCAAAGCCCTGCTTCAGACGGCACGGACCAAGAAGTGAGCAAAGGAGAAGGCCAGTGTGAAGTCACACCGAGAGCCACAGGAGCCACTCGTGCGTGCACATTTGTTTGTTTAGAAGCGTCGGGCTGCCGATGGCGCTTGGCTGACCTTGTTTTCACCATGTTGTTCGACGCATTGTGCGATGATGTGTTCGAGTACTGTCAGTGGCTTGGAAAGGCGCACCCCTGAACTTTGGGGGAGTCACATGAGCAAGCCTTGAGATGGTCCGCGTCAAGTAGTATTTGATTGTTGCTTGGCCTCGGTTTGCACAACTGAGTAGGACTTGCTTTTGTGCTCGAGGGCTTCCCTTTTGTTTCTTTGCATGTGGTGGATACTTGTTCAAATTGAATGTTGCTTCTTTCTCTAGACTTGCAAAGCTTGCCGCATCGCGTGATTGAAGCCTTAGATTCCCAACCTGGCTTGACAGAGCATCAGATCGTCAGCGAAACACCGGGCTGATAGTGGGTTGTCATTGGGGTGTGCAAGCTTGCCCTGGCTGAGGAGCCTTTGCTCTATCTGGGCTTCTGTCACTTGCTGCCCTGGTCTCTTCAGGCGGGCTTTTATTTTGTTGGTCGGGATGTCTCCCTGAACTGAACACTCCCTGCAAGCTACCACTTGGATGAAATTGAGGGCAACGTCCTCGTGTATGGAAGACAGCCCGCCATGTACTTTCCACATTGGGGGATGAAGAGGGGCCGCCAGGCTATGTCCACATTGGGGAATGAAGAGGGGCCGCCATGTAGTTTCCACATTAGGGGATGAGGACCCCCTTCACAAACTGTTTCCCACCCTGGAAACCTCCATGTCCCGAGGCGGCAAAAAGATGAAGTACAGGTAGAATGGTTGGCTGACTTGTTCAACACCAACCTTGCAAAATGTGCTTGGGTTTGTTGCTTTCAACCCTCTACAAGAGAGGGGGATCATTGAGTGGGTACAGTTGGGTGAAAGTAGATGGCACAAATCCATCTCATTTTCATTTTTCGGCATGAAGTGTGGCATCTACTTCTAGCGTGTACACCCGGACACCCGGTAGAAGCCACGTGGGGTGAGTTGAGTCTCTTTCTCAGCACAGTCAACTCCAGGAGCGGGATTGTCACACCCCAAGAGACTGTTTTTTTTGACCCAAGCCGTGGGCTTTTTTGACCCAAGCCGTGGGCTTTTTTGACCCAAGTCCTTTTGGGTTTCAAGCCAGAAATCGTGGGCTTTCTGGTCGGATCTTTTCCATGCCACAAAAAGGTGGGAAACTCTTTGCAGAGGGGTCCCTTCCAGCAATTAAGGTCTAGGTATATCCTGGTCCAAAGAAGTTATTTGCAATCCATGTTTCACAGGCTACAACTGGCTGTGGGTCAAAAAACCGGTACACCAAATGGAACCCTAGTAAGTGGAAACATGGACCAAAACCTGCGGTCCAATTCCTGGTGGTTTAATTTTGACTCTTACCCAGCTGGTACCCTCAAAAAAACAACACGATTAAGAAAACTTTGCGCGCGCGAGCGGCCCACGCGTGCGCGCGAGGAGCCGGCCATGAGGCTGCTCGCGGTAGAGCAGGGCTGTGAGGTCTTTTGTGTGGGCTGTGAGGCAGCCGGGGCCCCTGACTGGCGACCCGACCGGGGTGTGTTGCCATGTTAACAACAGCGATATACCAGTAAAGCCAGCAGAGACGGGGGGGTGGGGGTTCAAACATACAATAATTGTATATAGTTTGTGCTTTTCTCTCTCTCTCTCTCGTTCTTGTGCTCTTCTGCTGCTTCTCTGTTTTCTGTCTAGTCTTGTTCTTCTCTTTCATTTTTCTTGCTCTCTCTTTTTCTCTCTCTCCCTCTCTGTCTTGTTTCTCCTTTTTTCTCTTGCTTTTTGTTCCTGGTTTTTCCATTTCTCGTTCTCTCTTTCTTTTTCTCTTTCTCTTTCTCATTTCACTTTCTGCTCCTGGGCTGTCGCGAAATCTGCACCTGACGTGGCGAAAGTGCGGCGTTTGCCACGGAATCTGAGGAGCCACAAAGTCTGCACGTGACGCTGCGTCTTTTCCAATGGGATGCCAAAACACGCGCGTCGCCTCACGGTGCTGCACCTGCGACGCAGTTTGTACCTCAGGCGGCCGAAGTGCCGCGAAACGACTCATACAGTGGATGAACGAAATCCATTTCGCTCCACTTTGAAACCAAGGGAGACCATTGTTTGTTGGTATTTACAGGCCAATCATCATTCGAGGTGCCGGATTCTGTCCACAGTAGGAACGGATTCGCTGTCAAAGTACATACCATCTTGATTATTTGGGCCCTTATAGTGGCGCAGTGCTCCATTTTTTTCAGGTAGTCCCCCGAAGATCTAGCTATGCAAATGGTGCAGTGTTTTTTTTTGTGCTTTGGGGCTTCGCGGAGGGAGCAGGGACAATGGAATCAACAGAAAAGGCTCCAATGTCTGTCTGCCAGCGCTTGAACGAGGTGTCCTTGGTGAGCTTGCTTGGAAATAGATGAAACCGGTGCCACCTCTTCATTCCAAAAGGGCACCTATGGGGCTGGCACCTCTCAAAGGACATGATGTCACATCTCAAGGGTCACTGAATATGGACTATGGATTACGATTCAAGCAGTCGGGGGGGTGGGGGGCGCAGAGGCTGTGGTTGGGCTTCGCTTGCGCGGAGGTTGGCCCTATTTGTTTGCCAGCATAGTAACCCCTTCCAGAACATCCGCTGCCAACTGGCCGCCCTGGTTTTGAATGCTGGTTAAACGGAAACTAAAACAAGCTTAAGGCAAAAGCCAACCTTATTGGGAACCATACATCTGTATCCTAGTTCCAAAAACAGTTGGGGGACATTTGGTAGGCATTGCATGGGCCCGATTGGCACATGCTGAAGACACGCTTGTCAGAGCCATTTGGTTGACTCCTGGCTGGCAAATCAGTTGCAGAGTGCATTCAGTTACGACCCCCCGCAGGTCAGGGAAGGTTGCCAGCCCCTTCGGCAAAGACAGTTGTTCCAAGGGTGAAGCATGCTCGCGGCGAGCGAGGTGATTCCTGACCTGCTGAGGGAGGAGGCTGACGAAGAGCACACGGGGGAGGCCTTTTACAACGACCTCTTTCATGTGCGCCTTGGCCCAAGGCAGGGAACGGTGCTAGACAGCCCGGGTTAGACTTAGGATGCAGTTTACATTATACCAGTGACTCAAAGGGAAGCAAATAGAATATACATTCTGTAACTGGGCCTAAGTCTAATCATGTCAATGTGCGTTTTGTTTGTTCCAAAAAAGGGCACCGACAGGGGGTGGTTTAAATCAATCATTCCTTATGCCAGATGGTAGCGGTTTCCTTTGATCAATTTGGCCCACTCACTCTAAGAGGGGCTGAAGGAGCCGAACAGAAACGGGATTCCCACCGCATTGACTACAGCAAGCAAGCGCGTTGAGTAACCGCATTCGACAAGCATGAAGCAACAGGCATGAAGCAACAGGCATGAAGCAACTGAGGATTGATGCTCTTCCGCTGACTCACCAATTTCACGTCATAGTGCCTTGGCGCGCAGCAAGTCTTTTGCCAGCAGTGCGGCGCGTGCTAGCGCACGACAGAAAGTTCATGGCGAGAGTCAGCCAGGAAGGTGTTGAGAAGCATGCTGTGAACATCACCAAGCTGATAGGGGTACATGTGAATGTGCCTCACTAGCATTGGTTGTATCCTCCCAGATGAAAGCGTTTTCCCATGTAAATGTCGTGCCCTACGGGATACGGATTGGGATTATCTTACTTCCTGTGCTTCCAGTTACCACTGTAGTAGGTAACAGGAGGGTCATGTGAAACCTATGGTTACTATAGTGGCTTGCCGGGAAGCGATAAGATTAGCTCTCCGACCCATCACAGGCAGGTTCCATGTTTCAGAATGGCAGCCCATGGTTGATTTGAATAAGGGATACTTTCCCACGAAAACCTAGCCTAGTGCTTCCAGACAACCTCAACAGTAGGTAACCCTCCAGTATGGCTGGGTTCTACATCATGGTTTTCCCTGATTACCTACTATAGCGCCTGGAGGCAAAACAGAAAAACGAGCTTACCGCCATGAAGGTTCCTTTCTTCGGGCCTCTATATTTCAGGTTTCAATTTTTAGCTCCAATGGCTCCATTATCAGACACTTAGACTGAGCTCTTTGCGGGATTGGAAATCCAATGGTCTTTGAGCTCTTTGAGGGAATGGCTCCTTGGACTCCATCACTCACAGAGTTGGGATCTTTCAGACCTTACTTGGCCAATCCAGTTCGTAATCCTTCGGTAGTGTTACCTCTTGGTGTGATATGGGGAATCGTTTGGTTACGTACTATAGTTGCGAAACGCCTGGAAGCACTGGATAATCCCGCTCTTAGGAGGTTCTTAGCCCCTTTTTACCCTTGAAAAGCCATCCTCAGGAGGTACTTCGAATCTCTAGGTGAAGTTTCTTGGGAGGGTGCGGGGGTCGAAGAAGATACACGAAATGAGCGCAGGACAGTACCTTCGGCCTCGGGCTGCCTCTGCTTTGGAAGCTGATGGACCGACTGTCCGGCGAGCCTTGCCGGAAGAGGGCTGGATTTGAGGATCGAAATTCGGGGCAGCCCCAAGACATGATAAGACATGATGGTTTTCCTTTTGGTTTTCCTGAAAAGGGACACCCTAAAAGCACGCCCATTTTTTTTCAGGGTTTTCTGCTTCGTTCAGCGCTTCAAGGGTTGTGTGTCGCCATGGTTTGAGAGCGCAGCGCATGCTGTTGGATGGAACCATGAGTGGGCTTGCGCCAACTGGCCTTTGTGACAGATTGGAACCACATGTTGCCGTTCAGGTCCTTGCCATCAACCCCAGCTGGATCTTCAGCCTCTGTGCTGCAGAGGGGATTGCTTGGGTCCAAAGGCCATAACTCTCCCGGGTCCTCGTTGATGACCCAGCGTAGTGATTTGACTCTGTCTGCTTTTCCGAGTGGCAGCACATTGACTTATCCAGGTTCAGGGGAAGGGAATAAGACAGTTGGAAGTATGGCGTGCAACTGTTTATTGTGTTGAACCTCAAGTGACGGTCAAGAAACGAAGGGCGTGATTGAAATGAATCCCACGAAACAATCGCATGGGTCGTTTTCTGTCGTTCTTTGCTTGGTCTTTGTTCGTTCGAACTCGGTTTGGCAACTCATTGCTCGATCGAAGACCTATTCTCTTAGACTCCAGGCAAGGAGCTCTAATTTGGCTTTAAGGGTTGCAACTTCCGAAATTTGCCAGGTATTCGCAAGGATTGCCGGGTGTCCACTTATGCATTTGGTAAGCTGCCCACTGCACATTGTCATGTGTTTCGGTATTGTCAGTTTGATTTCTTCACAATCGGGTATACATATTTATATATATATATCCTTCATTGGTGGTTTAGATTGGTGGCTTGGGGATGTGAACCTCTGGTTCTGGCGGGTAAATCGGCAGCCCCCAAATCGGACCCCGCCAAACGACCACTCCAAGCCATTGGAAGGAGCTGACAGACCCGGCGGGCTATCCCGCATTAACCCCTCAGGAAGGCCTTGTTAAGGGCTTATCCTGGGCTTATCCAGGGATAGCCCCCAAAAAAATCCATAAGTTTGGAAAGAAGACGTTGTGCGTTGAACCCAACGCAAAGCCAATCCATTAAACTATTCTGACGATGAGCACAAAAATCCGCGCGGGGCGAGGCACGTCCGGCCCAGCCGCGCAGCAGCTCGACCGTGCCGAGCAGCTGACGCAAGTGGCGAGGCGGTGGGATTGTTGCGACTTACCAGGGGACTTTTTCGGTGAAGCCAGGGGAAACCTAGACTAGGTCCCCCAGCTAGGTGCCCTTTCTCGCCCCTTTTTTGGGGGAGGGTTCCCCTACTCAAATAGACTACAGAAAAAAAGTTGGTACCCTTCTTCTAACCTCTCTACTGGAAGACCTAGTCGAGGTAAGGATCCCTGAAACCTTGGCACTTTTTCGAAACCTAGGGGGGCACCGTGAATGTAGAAAACCTAGAGGTAAGGATCTTCAGCGGCTACCTGCTATGGCGAAACGCCTGGAAGCACTGGGTGGGATACCTCGCAGTTTCCAGTGGATCCATGTACCTGTATACGTAACCAAGGGCTTGCCACCCTTCAAAACCCACAAGAGCAAGAACTGGTCACCTATAAGGGCAGCTGGAATCCAATACAGGGAGGGGGAAGCCGTCTTTCTGGATCCAGTGAGCATCCATGGCTTATTGGAAGGATCAAGTTGTCATGTTCACGCTAGGCGCCACACAGTCGCCTATCGGGGCCTCTGGTTTTGCCTGGCTCCTTGCATGCGTGTTCGGAAGATCAGAGCCAAGGACGCTATGTCTCATGGCTGGACCTTCAAACTACAAGTATGAATTTAGGGAATTGAGTGCTGTCCCCCGAGCCAACAATCACTAGCTTGTTCCAAACCTAATCCCCAATGATTAGCGGATCACGGAGTCCGCGATGTACTGCGCGGATTGCGATTATGGGTTGCACGGATTTTGCATCCTGCATACGGTTTTGACCCAGAGTTTGTAGCATGACGGCTTAAGGCCCCCAGGATTTGGATCATGCCAAGAGTTGCTCACGTCTTGCGGGGGCAATCGCCACATACCTTTGGCCAGGCAGCGCGACGTGCGGCAGATGAGCCATATGCCCCTTGCCGCGCGCAAGACGCTTTCAGCCCAGCTACCCCCCATCCAATGGAGGCTGACGACCGCAGGATTTGGAAGATGACAGAGCTTTCCTTTAACCCCCTTTGTCTGCCATGAGCACGTTAGAAAGTGGGTATATTTGAATTTGCTCTCCTTGTCCTTTCTGATGCTATGTTTGTGGCCCCTCCCCGGAGGAAAAAACAGATCCCATGCGACATGTGATTGGTTGACCGTCTGTTGGCCCCAAGCTCCTAGCTCACGGCACGCCAACCCAAGCCGCCAAGCCCAAGGCTCTACGACTTCTCCATCGCCCCCTCCCTGGCCAAAGCGTTCTTCTCGGAGCCCGGGGATGCCGTCGGCGTGGCTGCTTGCCTTTGCTTTGAGACGAGGGCACCAAGCGAATCCACCGCTTGACCTGTTGCTTTCTCCGTTTTTGGCGTCTTTTGACTGGGGTCAGTATTTTGACCGTGTCTGAGGGTTATCAAAGTCAGAACATGGGGTTGCTTCCCGTTATCCCACCACTCAGGGGGTGACTTTGATCCTGGCAAAATCATGAGACCAGTTTGAGTCTTTACTTGCCCAAAAGGCGTACCTTTCTCATTGCTGGGTCCTTCGTGCAACTATGGCTTTCAAATTCCTTGATCGCAGGCTTGCTTCAAACCGGAGGTGCATCAACTGATGCTTTGGCCAAGAGCATGTGCAACAATCTGTCATAGTTTCCCTTCGTGTGGTCTCGGTCCAGCATGCAAAAATCATGACTGTCAGCCTTGCCACATCTGGGAATGGCTGTTTTCGGCCTTTCAATCGTTTCGCACTGATAGAACTCCAAACGCCTCATGGGGTCAAAGCTGTCACAAAGGAACCACAAGGACTGTTGCTTGTGCCTGGGGTCTCGGGGTCTCCGTCGACGTCCGTCGATTCAACCTACAACCAACCTCTGATGAAATCCGCTTGCTCGGTAGCTCCACTCCCAGCAGGGTTCAGGGTTTGGGGATAATGTGAGGACAAGTTGTTTGGTGGGAGGCTAGATGTTTCCCCAGAGAGCTAGAGTTTTTGTGGGATTCACTGGTGAACTGCAACATATTTCAGCATTCTGGGCACCAGCTGCTTACGGGAAGGATTCGAATCGTTGAGCAAAGTCGATGACAGCCCACCTTTCAGACCGACTATCATTAAAAGCTCGCTCGGAAAGATCGAGTCGTCGAGCTGAGTAGCATGGCTCAAAGAATGTAGCCCTTTGGAACCAACGGGAGTGAGGCTATCTGTTCGTGTAGACGATGCTTGCCGAATGTGTGTCTTGCATCTTTCAATCTTCACGTTGAACATGGCTCGCTTGCGACAGAGACATGGACACAACTGATTGCAATTATGTTGCTCCTTGGTGCAGTGAGGATGATTGCACGCTTGGCAGTGAACCCTAAACCCTAAACCCTAAGCCCTAAAACATTGATCAGCCATCGCAGTTTGCGCCACTCGCAACTTCAGGCTGAGCTCATGGACAACGCCGGGCTTCCCAGCACATATGACATGTGTCGTCCTGGCTCACACCAACTCTTAGCTTCAATGGGTGAAGGTGGCTTGCCTTTCGTGGCTTTGTAGGGAACAGCCCCGAAGCATGGGGAGGAGCAAGGGCCTGCACGCGTTCACTTGGAAGGATGAAGCATTGCGGATTCAGATGTTGCCATTTAATATAATTTGTTTAGATTTGGGTGAGAAATATAATATCTCTGGGACAACCCCTGACCACTGCTAGTTTGCATGAAAGGCAGTGTTGGCTGCAGGGTAAGGTAGGTTTAGGACATCAGCCGGATGGCACATGTGCCTGCATTTATCTCTGTCTCTATATCACTTATCAGCCAGCAATGTTTCTGGGCTTAGCAATAATTTACCACTAGCTCATATTTTATTGTTGCACTGAGATTGAGCAATGGCATTGAAAACATCAAAACGATGTAAACCGTCTGATGCCAAGCGCTCTTTGGTTGAACTGCGCGAAGATTGAACTACGACTGCGCGCGCTACTCGCAAACCAAGAGCTGGTAGCAGCGGAAGCTTGAGCGAAGTACATTGTAGCCCAGGCGTGCAGAGTCCAAGAGGAGATCCCGAAGGAAATGCGGTCAGGGCATGTTAAGGGTCAATGAGTGACCCTCCGGCTGAAGCCCCATTGGGACCAGGAACTTTTGCTCAGTGGCACCCTTTTTCCTTTTTTTTGTTTTTGGTGGCTGCCCCACTAAAAGTGGTCTTCCCCAAAAAGGGTTCCTTTTTTTCCCAGGGTCACTGAACAACTGAGTTTGGTGTCACACAAAGAATTGCCCTGTGGAGTCAGTAGCCATCGACTGTGAAACCGAAGCCATTCGGCCGGCCGGCACTTGATGGGTCTCTGAGCTTTGAAAAGTTCTCGTTGCAACTGAGGCGGGAGCACACCCGGTCTAAAGCTTGACTGCTATTGGATTGGACCTTTAGACTTTAACTTTTTGGGAAATAATTGTGTTTTCAGGTGTGTTTTCCAGTAAACGCCCAACAAGTTAAACTTTTTGCAGGGGGATCAGCAATCACGAAAACAATCATTGAATTGTTCCAGGTTGAGCCACCTGCTGAGTTGGAACTAGGGTTGTCGACCGCCTTGAAACCAGAAGACATGCAACAACAGTCTTCCATTTACAGGGCTCCTTAAAAAATACATGTTGCAACCATTTGAAACCTGGCTTTTTCCGCCAGAATAAAGGGAAACCACCATTTACAAGTTGCAATGTTCAGGTGTATCATGTAAGGATCCCTGATTTACCCATTCAATTAAGTAACAAAGGCCACGTATCCAACATTCTTTGCTGCAGGACTTGATCTCTTTGCCCCCACTTCCATGTTTTTTGTTCCCTGGTGGTTTACCCTCCCACCAATGCAGGGGCAACCTGACAGGGGGTCCCGTGTTAAGGAACATGGTCGAAACCAGGACTCCTCGAACGTCAGCTTCCGGCTGATAATTGATGGGAAGGTAGCTGGGGGTGTCGCTTCGACGCCCGAGGCAATGCATCAGCAGTACCAGTCTGCTTTGGCCAACGCGTCTTCTTCGTTTTGGAAGATGGGGGTCATGCACTCCTGGACCTTGAGGCAGAGTAGCTGGGAACTGGGTACAACATCTTGTCTCCTACTTGCCCGTGTGTGTTTGTTGCACTGCTTGCTGGCTTTTGTTGGCCTTGCTTGCTTGTTTGTTTTCTTTGCTTGCTGGCTTGCTTGATTGATTGTTGATTTGCATGGTGTGTTTGTTTGCTTTGTTTGTTGAATTGTGTGTTTGTTGTTTGTTGTCTGTTTGCTCGTTTGCTTGTTTGTTTGTTTTTTTGTTTCTTTGTTTCATGTTTCTCTGTTTCTTTGTTTTTGTTTGTTTGTTTCTTTGTTTCTTTGTTTACTTGTTTCTTTGTTAGATTGTTTGTTTGGTTTGATTGTTAGATTGATTGTTTGTTTCTTGATGTGTTGGCTTTGTTTGCTTGTTGGCTTGTTGGTTTGTGGGTTTGCTTGGTTTGTTGGTTTATATGTGTTTCCCTGCGCCTACTTGCGCCTTCAAATTGGGTTGCGCACAGTGGAGCTTTATTTGAATCATTGAGGCCAATCTCTGATGTTGGAAGCCGAAGGGGAGCATAAGCTCAGGATTGACTAAGTTGCCCACGCCGCCTTGAAAGACGCTGGAGTTGTTGGCTGCTGCGCCACACCCCCCGCCCCGACGATTAAGGGAAGGTTCGGCAAGACCATGTATCTGTCGGCACGAATCTGAAGCTGCTGTGACTTTGGTGCGGCACTTGGGAGATTCATGACAATTCCAAGTTTCTAGCAACCCAGCCCCCAATCTCAAATGAGCCAAAATCCAAGATGCCACATGGGGCAAAGGCACGCTCATGCCAATGCCGGAGAACACAACGTCCAAAGTTTGGGATCGCGCATCCAAGTTGCACTATGTGTGAGCAGGCCGAAAGTTTCTTTGCTTGTTTATTTCAGGTGATTTTGATGACCCGTCCATGCTGTTGGCATGTGCGAGAGAAGGAACACTGCGAGATACTCAGAGCTTCCGTAGATAGCCTAATAAGGGATAGAACTGCCTGCCGCAACTACCCCAAAAGCAGGTCTTGCCCTTCGGGTGGGGTTACGTGTAAAGCGGGAGGAACCCTGTTGTCTTCGGTTCACCGCGACCCGTACCTCACGTGCCCTTTGCCCGTTGGCCAAATTTCTACCCTAACACGTTTAGCAGTGGTCATTTGGTGGGCAAAGGGGATCCACCCCTTACTTCACCATTCTTGGCAAGTGTCTTGTTTTCTCTTTGTTTTTGGTTCTGTTTTTTTTGTGTGTGTTTCTTTTTGGAACCATAAGGGTTGTGAAGTTAAACGAGGCACCAACCCACAAGCCACAGGTTTCCGTGCACGGGGCCCTGCAGGAACCTCACGCAAGTGCTGAACGCGCTACCGCCGTGGCACCCACCCAGGCGCCGGGATGCGCCGGCGAGCACCTTCCCAGCAACCCACCATTTTTGGAGCACTCTCCTTTCAGGGACCCCCTTTGGAATTTGGAGTTCCATGTTGATTTGTAGGGGGTGATGTAAACAAATAAAGCCTAGGTGCCCCAGCTAGATGCCGACTTTTGCCATTTCTTTTTTGGGGTTTTGGGTTCCCCTACTAAAGTAGACGAAACAGAAAAAAGAAAGGGTACCAACTTATTCTATCCTCGCAAAACTGGAGGACCTAGTTGATATCACACTTCCATTTGCTGACATGAATATTTTGTACTTTTTTCTGGATTCCCCTGTTTGAAGGGAATTGATATCACTCGTGAAAAATATGTTCTTCGTGTACCGGGAGACTTCAGCAACTGGCAGCCCGCCAAGGCAAAAAGTATCCTCCTTTGTTTCGGGGCTTAGCTGCTAGTTTTCAGGGGGTAAGAGGCGTCGCTGTTGGGCGAAACCTTTACCAAGCACCATGGCCGGGTGTTTGTGTGTGGTGTTTACATTGGGACTTAGCTTAAGGTGTTCCCAAGGCCGGAGGAGGTTTTTCATTCTCGGAGCTCCTGATTTCGCGGGCTTTCGCGAGGCCTTTTGGCAGAGGTTCGTTCAGACACGGCCAGATGTACAGGAGCTGGACGGCTTTGGGAAGTTCCAGGCAAAGATTGTGGCGATAGTTCTGGGACATGCTATGAACTTGGCAGAAAAGTTTCGCAAACCCTTCCCTTGCGGCACAGTTTGGTCCTAGGATGCCGTGCCACATGCCAACCTAAGTCTGGCACAGGCTTTGACACGAGAGTCGTCAGACCCGCAATACTGGCAGTCTGGTTGCCTTCTTCGCCTGCCAAGCCGAACACTTGATGGGGGCATTTGTGCATTTTCCACTTTGTTGACATGATGATTCCCCTATTGTTCAACCCCCATTAAGATACTGGTTGACCCAGTTTGGAAGATGACAATCCTTAGGCCACTATAGTGGGTCAATCAAGGGGGAACCACAATGTAAAACCTAGAGGTAGCCATACCGAAGGGTTACCTACTATAGCGGAGACTGGAAGCACAGGGCGTATTTCACAATGTAGTCAGCAAGTCTTTTGTTCCGATGATTTACCCAGCTAGTTGTATTTTTGCTATGAATAATGCATGCTTTTCATTGATATGCATCGAGGGGGCTTTTTTTTTTTGGAGCAGTTGACAATGAATGAAAGCTAAGACAAACGATTGGACGGATATCTTGTGACCATGGAATTACCTGGAGAGCTTGGGCAGTTTGTTTCACAGCTCAGGCTTTTTGTGACCTTAACCCGTAGACCTTTTGGACCCTTATAGCTTTCCATTAAACAGTGCTCCTTAAAAGATGCATTTTGCAACCATTTGAAACCTGGCTTTTTCCGCCAGAGTAAGGGGAAACCAGCATTGACAAGTTGCAACGTTCAGGTGTATTCACTGTAAGGATCCCTGATACATACCTACCTACCTACCTACCTGCCTACATATATACATACATACATGCATGCATCCATTCTACAAAAGCTTGGGCGTTTTTTGCGGGAGGATCGCGGCAGTTCTTGTTCCCGGTTTAGCTCAGCCCGCCTGTTTCGCGCGAGGCCGGTTTACGTGGTCCTGGCCTGCGGCAGCCACGCGCCCCTTGGGGCCGCTTGGGCGCTTGACGAGGTCCTGGGGCTCGGGCGTATGGATACGCAGATTGCTCTTGCTTTTGCGGTTCCCTTTAAGAATATTTTTATTTTCCCCTGTTGGTTTTAAAGGGAATGTATCACTACTGGAAATATTTATATTTATATATATATATATATTCCAGGGGTCTTAACCAAATAGAAGTCTTTGGGATTGGGTCGGATGTAATGTTGACCCCATATATATCAACCCCAGTTCATTATGGGGGTGTTCCAGTGATGATTCGCCACTCAACCCAGAGACACCCCCCTGTCAATAAACTGGGGTTAATTAATTAATACGGGGTCGGATGTAGACACATTTGCCATTTGCCCACGTTGGCATAGCGTGGCTCCTATCCATCCTCCAGTGTCGGAGGTTCAGATTGGAATGTCCCTCTAAAAATGAAAACTCCAATTAAATCATAAGATGCCATGGGCTTGATGATCATGTTCGCCATGTACAGTGATGCTCGGGCTGAACTTGTGGTTGCTTCCTGCACTTGTTTTTTAGTGTGCGTACGCAACCTGACGCGCAATCAATTTGCCCAACAATCGTTCTTCCCCCTATGGGCAACATGATTGAGTGCCTTGATTTGAAGCCTACGTAGGGTCCGTGGTTGTGCGTGTGTGTGTGTGTGTCTTTACCAGGGACGCATCACAAAACTGATAGTCAAACTTGACATGGCCTCCAGTGAACCTCTAGTGCGAAGCAGCTAGTTTCAGCAGCTGGTTTGGTAGACCTGTAAGCTGAGAAAGCGCCCCTGCCACGACACCAGACGAGCCTCACCAAGTGCCCCACCCCACCCCACCCCACACCACCCCACCCAACCCCACCCCCCGTCACCCCACCCCACCCCACCCCACCCCTTTTGCAGCTGGCTTTCGGGCTCGGCCGAGGCGGTGCAAAACGCCGCTTACAACCTGCAGGAGCTGATGACGGGATCCATGCAAGTGATCCTTGCCCCGCAAAAAAAAGAAGAAAACATCCGGATCCGATCCGATCGGCCGATCGACTTTGGATCTTCAGACCAGCCAACCAACCAGGGAACCAGTCAGTGGAGGCCTGTTTTAAACAGGGGTCCCTACATTTCTGCGTGTTTTTTTTGGTGGTTTTTGAACATCACCTGTTTTGCCCTTTTGAGGTGAGCTTTCCTTCATGGGTGTGATGTTTTGAGGGGAAATAAGTATCGG